TGAAGGTGCACTTGGTAAAGAGGTTCATCCAGCACGTGTTGATTTATATACACATTTTGAAGGTGCAGTTGATGAAGAGAATGCAGGTATGAAATTGTATTAAGATATATTTGCTTTATGTTTCAATATTTTTACCATTCTATTAATTTAGATAGACATGGTGTTACAGAGAGGGAAGATATGCATGCACAATCTCCAATTCACGGAGTGACCGTAACAGCTCAAAGTGAACAACAGAATGAGGAAGACAACAACGTAAGTGAAAAGGTAGAGTATGTGAATGTAGGTGATTCAGAAGATTCTGGAGCTGAGAAAAAGGAGGTTACACTTGATGATTTCTAGCTGCCTGATAGATTCTCCCAGTTGGTTAAGTTCGGCGAGCCTATACAAGATGAAACAACACCCGTGCATCAAGGTAGAACAAGGCAGCCGGGAAAGCATGCCCAATCACCATTTCTCCCTTTATACAGTTCTGGTGGCAGCACCTCGGTTGGACCTCAAATTTTTCACCTCAAACACTCATTTACTAGTGCTATTGGTGAAGATCTAGATCCTGATTTGGTAGAACTCTACCGACAAAGGTTCAAAGAGGTTAGTTTGCACAATTTGACACTTTTATTCCAGTATTCATCTTTTACATATCCATTTCATTCAACAATTTTATTTTAATTTATATTTGTTTATATAGGAGGAAGGCTCCATATTCTATAAATGACAACCAAATTAAGCCATGATTGGATCTTGGATTGGAAAAGGTTGACAAGAAGGAGTAGTTATATTCCCTGGCACATCCAGGATAAGTCCTCAATGACGCTGTAAGATTCAATGTATTTGATTTGTGGATATTTTGTAGATAATTTGTAATTAACTTGTTGTATGATTGTTAATGCTTTCTACACCGATTGTAGATGAATTGTAGTTATTTTGTAGTTTTGTATAGATTATTTGAAGATAACTTATAGTATAAATGCAATCTATTTTTGTTGTAGCACATTAATGTTATAATGTATTACTTGAGGAAAAGAGGCAAGTATGGCCCCCACAACAAGACCAGGTTTACTACAACAGATTGTTTGTTCAAGACTAGGATTGATCAAATCTATGAAAAGTTCCAAAATTCTCCTCAAGAAAAGAAGTTTTCTGTTGTCAAGCCCCATGACGTTGTAGCAGAATATATATTGGGGTATAGATTACTCGCAAATGTTGCATTGGATGAAGTTGGTTATGTCATCATGCCCGTCAATATTGTAGAAAAATTCTACTGGGTTGCAGAAAGACAACTTTATGTGTATGATTCCATGGTCTCTTCACGCAATCACCCTATTGTTGAATCTTGTGTCGAAAAGTTTTCTGTTATTATCCCTTTGTATTTGTCATGCACCGATATTTATGGGAAGCGTAAAGACATCAACTTCAAGAATACAAAGGTATACGTTGAGAAACCTATTACCGACCCTCTTAACATTCAGTGGATCGTCGGAGAGATACCACAACAAAAAGAAGGATCACTGTAACAAAAATCTTCTTTCTTTCTTTACATTTAACTCTTTTTCTGATTTTTTGGTAAATATTGACCTTTTTTTTAATTTTTGCAGCGATTGTGGTGTATTTGTTGCTGCCTTTGCAGAGTACGTTAGTCTTGGAGAGTTATCAATTCTGCATGAAGACCTTTCTGATATTGACCAACACCGTAGACGCTATGAAGCGCTACTTTGGGACTATGCTAGAAAGAAGCATGAGCATGGTGCAATTAGTGAAAGTGAGGTGACAGACAAATTGGCAAGGAGAAAAGGTGCACCGGCTTTGAATGAGAAAACACGAGTCCAGAGGAAGAAGAAGTAGTTGTAATGTTGATGCTAGTTTAGAAGATCAAGTATAGTTGTTTAGTTGATGCTAGTTTAGAAGAAAGATGGTAGATAAGTTTTTGAACAATTTTTGTTGTTTTAATTGTAGCAGACTTGCGCTACCATTATAGTAGCCTTTGTTTTTTTTTTCTTATTCAGTATAGTATCAAATGGAAACATTATGTTGGTTTTATATTCGTTTGTTCAATCTTTACAATACTTGATCTTCATTAACTTTAGCGTATATCCTTTCCACTTGAATTTTTATACAGTTATTCTGTCAACGCAAAAATATGTAGTTATTTTGTTGTTTTTTTGTATATAAAATGTAAAAATCACTAATTAAACATTTTGTTGTTTTTACATTCAATTTATTGAATGTATAAAGTACCTGATCTACATTATTTTTAGCATATAACTTCTTTCTAGCTTAATTACAAGATATCTATTATGTCAGCTACATGCATTGTAGTTTTTTTGTAGTTGCATTTGTATAAAATATTTAACAATGTGTTTTTTTCTTTTATATTCATTTGTTGAATGCAAATTTTACTTGATCTACAATATCTTGGTATGTATTTACTTTCTTACTGATTTATAGTGTAGTTACTCTATAAATTCCAGTTAATATTTTTTTTTGTAGTTTTATTGTAGATCAATTGCAAAAAAATTTAACAACTGTGCAAAGGATTCATGATATAGAAAAAAGTGGTAGATTATACATATAGAAACTGTCACACCTCCTTTTTCCGCCCCCGCGAGGGGCGTAGGAGTTTTTTCCAATTAAAGGACAATCGAAACGGGATTTGTTTATTTATTTCAGAGTCGCCACTTAGGAGATTTAGGGTGTCCCAAGTCACCAATTTTAATCCCGAATCGAGGAAAAGAATGACTCCATATTACAGTCTGCGTACCATAAATTCGGATAAGGAATTCTGTTAACCCGGGAGAAGGTGTTAGGCATTCCCGAGTTCCGTGGTTCTAGCACGGCCGCTCAACTGTCATATTTGGCTTGATTATCTGATTTAATACATGTTGAACCTATGTGCAGAATTTAACTTTTAACCGCTTTTATCATTTACTGTTGTTTTTATCAAGAATTGCAACGTTGTGAAAATGTATCTCAAACCGCGTTACAATCAATGTACCCGTGGTCGTCGACACACTTTGACTCCGTTGAGATTTGGATTTGGGTCACATCAATGTGCACCCGAGTTTAAGGAAATTAAATTATTANCTCTTTTCTTCTTTTATTTTTCTAAAACTAAATTATAAAAATACTTAAATTATTATTAAGAACTAAATTAAGTTATAAAAGCGCAAATTAACTCCCAATAATAATTAACGCACAATTAAGTAATAATTAAGCATAAAATTGTATATTTGGACATTAAATGCTAAAAATGCAGAAGATGCCTATTTTTTGTAATTTTCAATTTTTGTAAAACAAACTTAATTACTAACAATTGTATAATTAAATCCTACATGAAAAATGCGATATATTTTGTATTTTTTTATTAATTTAACAAATAAACATGCACAGACAAATACAAATAATTATCCAAAAATGTCACGAAATTCTCAAAATTGCACACCAAGGAAAATTATTTATTTTGGATTTTTTGGGAGTGATTCTCATATAGGGCAAAAATTACGTGCTCACAGAAACTATCCATAAACAAATTACTCTATGAAAGTATTATCTCAATAATGAAAAATCCTAACTAACTACATTATGATCTTCAAAAACCTCAAGAATTACATATCAAAATCTGTTATCCTTAACTCACCAACAATCTTTATGCAATATTCTGTTAACTACATAATTTATTTTTTTTGGGTGCATCTTGCAAGATCTTTTGTTATGCCCTTCTCCTCCGCAGTTGCCACATGAAACCTTGTACTTCTTTGAATTTATTTCATCATATGATTTGTATCTTTCCTTTTGAGGTCTTCCTGGCTTCCTTTTCCCTCATGTAGGTGGCTTTACTACTTCTTTAGATATATGTTGTGGCACATTCCATTTGCTTTCATCAGGTAGGGGATTTACTGGTATTTTATAAGTACGCAAGAGGTTCGCCCTTGTGTAATAAGGAGAACAATATTCTTCAAAAGACTCATCCCTATGTCTTAAAGCAGCCAAAGCATGTGGACAAGTAAGTTCGTCAAGCTGGAATTGCCCACAACTACATCTGTTGTTTTCAAGACAAACAATATAGCGCCTCACACCATCTAGTACTGTATGGACGTAGTCTGTTGAAGCCCTCACCTACGATTACATTACAAACAAAAAAAATTCATATACGGTTAAACTCAAGCTATATACAAAATATCTTCAAAATATCTACATTGTCCTGTAAAAATTAATTTGTTTCAGTAAAAGATCAGATCTTACTCTAATCTTGTGCGACAATGTTCTTTTGTCATCCAACTCTTTGTTGAATTTGTATCCAAGGTATGTGAATGTACCCTTTGCTTTCAATAACTTTTCTTTCATCCAACGTTCAAGAAGGGTCCTCATATACTCTAATAGTTCTACTATCGGCAACTCTCTTGCATATTTTGTTACAACATTCAACGACTCTGCAATGTTTGATGTCATAGTCCAAGTTTTGTTCACCATAGCATATACTCGGGACCATCTATGATAGCCAATATCGTATGAGTATGCTTTAACACGGGGGTCAATCTCCTCAATCTTTGACATCCTTTCATTAAATTCATCAAGTGTGTATGACCGTGCCGTGGCAAAGTGTAATTCACATAACTTAAGATGTCCCTTCTTGAACTTTGCTCGTATATTTGTCCAAATATGCCATATGAAAAATAATGAGGCATGCCGGGATAAACAATAGATGTTGCCTTCAAGATACTCTCATTCCGATCTAAAACAACACACATATTTGGTCTTTCACCATACGCGAGTTTGAATTGCTCAAAAAACCACTTCTACGATGCGTCATTCTCTGAATCGACAACAACATATGCCAACGGTAATATGGTACCTACATTATGCGGCAAGAAGCAATTAATTGGCTGCAGTAAAAATGCAGAAGAAGACATATATATACAAACTACAACTATTCTACAAAATATCTACAATTTATCTACAATTCACCTGCAAGTACTACAAAAAAAATACAAGCTGCAATATTTCTACAATAAAACTTCAGTACTTGCTGTATCCATTGTACTGGCTGTTAGCATTATTCCCCTGTATGCTGAATTCAAAAATGTCCCATCAACTACTACAACTGGCCTGCAATATTCCCAACCACTGCTTGACGTACAAATCGCAACAAATACATACAAGAAGCAGTCATCGTCTGTCTTCTTCAATTTAACTACAGACCCCAGATAAGTCTTCTCTAGAATATACAAATAACTAGGCAATTTGCTGTAGGAGTCAGCAGGATGACCTCTCATAAACTGTAAAGCCTTTTCCTTTGCTCTCCAGGCTTGCATGTAGGTTAGATTCACGCCGTGTTCAGACAACATGTCAAATTGAATGTCTTTCGGGGCGTAAATTGTCTTAGGATCAGAAATTCTACCAAATACCATGGCAGTAAGTTTGCGTTGTATGAATGTATTGTCCAATAAAGAGCATGTGTGCTGGCTGTCGAAATTTCTGTCCTTGAACATTGCAGAATCATTTATGCTAGTTGCCTTGAAGTGCCATGTACAATTTTCACCAACACATATCAGCCAGTAGCTACAAAATAAATACATTTTACACAATGGGTTAAAATTTAGATTTTAAAAAAATTGTTTTAGCTTAAACAATCACATTATACAATCTATATATAACATAACTACAATTCAACTACAATTCTGTTAAACATTATCACAAGGAAAAACTGAAGAAGTAAAAAATTACAAATAAACTATAAAATTAAAAAAATAATAATCTTTGACTATTCATATGTTCATACCTTCTAGCACTAGATCTTTTAACCCTGAATTGGACTTGTGCATGACAGAATAATGCTTCATTGCAGCTGCAATTGTTTCCTTGTCTTGGTATACTTGTCCTATTTCAATAGAACTTGGTGTACTATCTGTTATTATTATACTTTCATATTCCTCTATAACCAGAGATGTTGGTATATCAAGTAACTTTAGTATTCCAGACGAACATGCATGAAAATAAATATAAATATTGTTATCACCAGTTTGTAGAAATTTTGTAGATAATTTGTAGAAAGGTTGAAATTCAGTATTTCATATTATCAGTATGGATTTATGTAATATCTACAAAATTTCTATATTTATTCTACAATAAAACTACAAAAAAATTCTATATATATGTAGTTTAATTGTAGATAAAATGTAGATAAAGTGTAGTTTATTGATATTGTACCAGAATTTCATAGAAAAAATAACAACACACACCTCCACCTGTATTCTCATTGGTGATACTCGATTCCATATTGAAATCGCGAACAATTATACATAGCGTATGTGATCCTAAGTTTTTGTTTTCCTTTTTCGTCTCCATGTATATACGAACACCCATATCGTTCCTAATTTTCATTGGAGGACAATGCTCGTTGACAATGTATTTGATTTCTATAATTTTTTTGGATGTATCAATCATTAATTGTTATGCTATTGTAGAAATCAATAGACTATAACTCGCATCCTCATCGACTACAATACCATCGACCTCAAATTCTCTAAATCTCCCATAGCTATCCCAATTCCCATCCAGTTGTAGCATAATTGGTATTTTCGCCATAATTGCTTTTGTTGCAGAACAATTGTAGAAGATTTTATCGATTTTGATTTGTGAAATCAGAGAAAATGTTGAAACAGTGTGTATCGCAAAAACAGAGTACGAAAATTTTGTAACGAAGTCGACGATAGTTATTACTGTGCATGATTTGCGTTGGGAAAGATCTGGAAAATATTTAATTCCCCTTTTTTAGCGCGCCTAAATAAGGAATCATAAAGCTACAATGATTCTTTATTTAATGCATTGTATATATTATGTAGAAATACTATTAGCATGAATGATAATATCCAAACTATGAACATATTTGATAATATAGTTTCCTATATGATATATATACGAAAATTTCCCTAAAAATAGGGAATCTTACATAAATATCCAAATAAGTTCCAACTTACCAATCTCTAGCCATTAGTCATAGACTTACCAAAACAAGCCAAACACATATAAAAGTTGAAAACCCAAATAAATAAGGTTATTTCTCTCCAAGAATCACATGCAAAGATCTCTTTCCATATTTTTAAGCGTGATTATCAATATTACATGCAAGATGAANATATATATATATATGCAAAAAAGGACCTTTTTCAATGGGTATGATTGAAATTCATTGAAAACATATAGGTGAGTCAATATTTAGTTTTGAGGAGGATTGAAGGTGATTTGGATTAATTTGGTATCAAAATTCGTAGTTAAAGTCGAGTTAAAAAATTCTTTAGCGACACATGTATTACACACACATGCATAAATGTAATACACATTTGATACAAATATGATACATATGTGATACACATATCATTTTTTTTTCATGTTTCATCTTCTACTTCGAATTTTCAATTCAAACCACCTTAAAACTCCGCCAAATTATCCCAAAACTTAGATTCAAACTCATTAAGATGTACCAAATTTATTCTAATAATATCCACTCAAAAGAAAGTAAAAATTGACCTTTTTTTTGGTTACGAATAGCTAAGTGACTAATATTGATAACATTTGGCTAATATTAATCTATATTATATTAAAAGCATGAAGACCCTTAGCGAAATGTCGTTCGCCTTTTTTATCCTTTTAAAATAGAGTTCACACTTGACAAAATAGTCATTTTACTATTTTTTTAATATTTAAGAATACTCATTTAAATATTCCCTACTCTTTAGGAATAATCATTTAATTAATTTCCTGCTATATAGAAATTGTCATTTAATTACTCCTTTAATATTTATAATATGGATCTTCAATTCTTTTTGGTTCTAGAATTTCAAGCACATATTGTAGGAAAGATTATCGGTCACGACATAATAGGAAATTTTCCGTCCAACTCCATTAATATTTAGGAATATTATTAAAATTTTCCTTTTAATGCTAGGAGGGTCTTTTTTTAGTTAATAAAATTTTATTTAATTCGCACACAACAGGAAGGTTTCGGTTCTTTTTAGTTAATAAAATTTTCATTAATTCACATACACTATGAAACTTTCGATACTTTCAACTATTTTCAAATTTAGAAGTATTAAAATTTTCACACTCGGAAAGTTTTTTTAGTAAACAAAATTTTAACGAATTCACATTTCATATACACATACTAGGAAAGTTTTGGTATAAATGTTTGACACTAATTTTTTATAAAATATATTAGGTGAAAACGAGCTCTTTCTGAATTTCTTTTATTAGAGTCTGTTGAATAAATTTTTAAACAATTATATACAGGGTACTTCTATAAAAGAAGTTATAATTACACCTTTTCATCATTATGAAACTTTGCCTTGTTGAAGCAGCAACTACAAAGTTAAGGCTTCCATATTCTCTTTTCTTGAGTAAGTGTTTTTTATTTTTTATTTTTTTATTTAATATTAGTAGTTGAATATTGCACATATATTTATATTAGTAGTTGAGTTTTGCTTTAACACATTAGTACTTGAATTTTTCATGCATGTATTCAACCCATATATCTTTATTTTGATGTTCTGGATTGTGAATCTTGATTGCATAGTCGTCTTTTTGCATTAGAGTGTATGCTTCAATTTTTTGTCAAGTTATTTCTTCTACTATTTTTTATGCTCTTATTGGACCTTTTTCTCTGTTTTTAACAGCTTTTAATAGATTTTATATTAGACAAAAAATTATTTTTCTTAAAATTATAAGAATTTATAATTAACCAAAATTTTAGTTATTGGTTTTTTAATTATTTGAACTAAGTAAGTACTAATAATATTTAATACGCTAAAATCAATTAAGATTTTGCTTTATATAAATTCTTTCTTTGTTTAAACTATATAAAACTTATAATTTATTTTTAAAATCTTCATTATTCAATTAATAGGATAATGGAATGCGAATTCTCCACGTACTCTTCTCCATGTACTCTGATTTATAACCGAATGTGAATAAAATCTTTCGCTTATTTTCCGATAGCTATGTGACTAATGATTTTACTACTTCGAGTTCATACATGATTCAAGACTATTGCCGAAGAAATATCAAAAAGAGGATAAAATGTAGTTTTTCATTCGGATATTAAATCTTTTACGAAATTAAAGTTCTTTAAAAATAGCTTTACTTTAAAAACTTTAAATCTTCAAAAGTTATGTGTTCTTGCTGAAACTTAAAAGAAATATGGCAACTTGTGAAACTTAAATTGAATTATAAAATTGGAATTAATTTTAAGTTACATATTGATTGAGATAATTTAGTACTTTTATGGGATAAAGTTTCAACCTTTATTGAATAACTAAATAAAACTAATAATTGATCATTTTAGAACGTAATTTTTTTTTTGAATTTTATTTTATAACTTAAACACAAATTCTAATATCGAGACTAGGCACACGCGCAACGCGCGTATTCTAAGACTGGTAATATTTAATAAACCGAACAATTTTTGTAATATGCTACTTATAAATGAACATGACTGATAGTTTCTATAACAATAAAGAGGATTTATTATAGTTAGATTTTATTTCTTCACTTTGAACATCAACCTACTACAAACCAGTCATTCATCCGAATTTAGATTATCCATGCTCTGGAGGAGTATAGTGGACATAACATAATATAAAAATTAATTCCGAAAAAAACTTGCCCTTTATAGTGAATGGTTTGTTATATAGGGATGCTGTTATAAAGAGGGCACAGAGATCTGAGTGTATGTTAATATGATTGTGTATATGATAAGTGAAAACATTAAACACATTAATACACTAGTTTGATAAGAAAAAAGACATTACAGCAAAGTTCATCATTTAACAATTATTGAATAATATTCATGAAAGTTTCAAAAGCCATTTAAAATAATATTATGAATGAAATGATATTGAACAATTTACAATGTCCCAAAATTGATAACGTTATCATATTAATTACACAGAAGGAGTCACAACTGACCCTTGCAACAACAGTTTTCATCACCATACAAATTTCATCTTCTAAAAATATCTGGTAGATTATGTACCACCAACCGATAAGCTGAAGGTTCGCATCGTATGAAGTGTCACGAAAGTACCACGATCAATACTCCCAAGGTCGGAAGGGGAAATAAATTGGGCAAAAATTATTTTTAGCCCGTAATCGAAACTATTTATATTCGGTAGTCGCAAAAGTATATAAAATTTATATATTTTTGTATATAACATACATAAATAAATACACACACGCGCGCGCACACACACACACACACACACACATATATATATATATATATTATTTTTGTCGGCTATTATTTTGAGAGCGACTATACAGTATCATTTTCTGGAAAAAAAATGACAGCCTCAAAATTGTCTACAAACTTGATAAGTAGAAGTGTGGTGGTGTTTTTTTTTTTTTTAAAAAAATTTCAAATCCCACCTAACTTAAGGGGGAAAAAAAGGAAAAAAAAATACAATAGTTTATATAGCATATATTTTCTTGTATTCATCATTGTCATCAGAGAGGACTGAATCTGATAAATCCAATGACTTGCTAGCCATAGAGTTCTTTCTCATGCTCTTCTTGTTTGATGACTCAATCCTATGGCTTATAACCCAAAATAACATTACTCCAATTGTTGAAATCATTATAACTGCTCCAAGAATTGACACAATAATTGCCATCAGCCTATAACGTGTGCCAACAACAACAAATGACAGTGCCAAATATGCCACTGAAACAAGCACACAAGCCACCCACATTAGCTTGTTTATAATTGACATCAACTTCTTCTTTGCTTTGCTTTCAATGACCACAACTGTTGTCTGAACAACCACAACTGAAAGCGAGATGAATAACGCGATAGAGTCGAAGATAAAGAAAACGAGAAATCCAGGGTGGTTCGATATGTTTGCTTCTCCAATTATATGACCAGGTGGGAGGTTATCTGGATCCATATAGTATTGCCCCGGCACTTGAAATATTCCTGCAAAGGCAACTGTGGCGATTAGTACAGCAACGACAGTTGTTGAGTTGATCGCGTTGTTTAGGCCTTCTCGATGCATTTTGTGGAGGCGTTTGGCAATGCCTTGTATGCGTTTTCTTGTCTGTCGCGTGTGTTTTAACTGATCGTGCACCTCGTGTTTGATGTCACTAACGGTTTGCTTCAACTCTCTTGCTGGATTTATTTTCTGTGGTTTGAGAACTCGTGCACTTTCAACGCCATGTTCCTGTAGGATGGCTACAGTCTCAGCCTGTGACATTTTCTCAGCAGTGTCGAGAGCTGTCTCGTGGGACCTATTGATCACTTTTTTGTCTGTTTCATTCTGCCCAAGTAGCAATTTAACAATCTGCAATATCAGTCAAAACAAGTCAGATCTCCATATGATCAACAATTCCACTTCATTTATACTATCAACAATTTGGTTCATATATGAAGTAATAACTGGTACAAGTGGCCTAGCTATTTTTGGAAGAACATGAACATTTGAATATTCTGTCAATTGTGCAGCCCGGTGCACTAAGCTCCCGCTATGTGCCCCGGATCACAGGGATCTATTGTACGCAGCCTCACCCTGCATTTCTGTCAATGATATATAGATTTTTTACACTTCGTTGCTAATAAGCACTAGCAGCATCATGCTCAGAGATGAAGCAACCAAATATAAAATTAGTCGAACATGTCTGTCAAAAGTGATTGAGCAATGTTATAGACTCTAACTAGAAACTGTTTTCATCTCTTTTTTTGGTAAACAAAGGACACTCATTAACTAAAATATCATCAATACAGCAGGAGTTTTAGATGAAACGTACCTCAGATCTCCCTTTCCGAGCTGCAATATGCAATGGCGTATTGCCCTTATTGTCAACCAGGTTAATTAATGAAGGATCAGTTTTAATGAGCTCCTCCACAACCTCAAGGTTTTGTCCTTTGACAGCCATGTGAAGTGCAGTCTGTCCTTTATTATCCATCCGTGTTGCAATCCCTGGCTCCTTACTCAAAAGAGCCTTCAAAACCTGCAAATGTCCATTCCTTGCAGAAGAATGCAGTGCTGTTTTCCCGTTACTTTTAGCTATAGTGGCCAAACTACTCTGTTCCGCCAAGAAATAATTCACCACCTCTATATGCCCTTGGTTCGCTGCAGTATGCAAAGCTGTTGTATTTGCGACATCAACTGTCATCGCTAGCTCTGGATGTGCTTCCAGTAATACCTGCACCATATCTGCAACATTGCCAAAAATGAACAAACAACATCGACAATAACAACAATGCCTCAATCTAAAGCAGGTTGGGCTAGGCTATATAAATACTTATTGATCAGGTTGCTCCATTTAAGGTCATCACTGTCCAATAAATATTATACAAAATAAAAATAAAAAGTACTAGAAAGTTCTCTATATATAATTTCAAACAAACAAGTTCATCTAAATCTCATAAATTTGACATCAGAAAATTGAAAGGCTAAAGTGATACTAGCAGTTCATATATAAATCATCAAAAGCTTACCTAAATCTCCTTGTTTGGCAGCAATATGCAATGCATCAAACCCGTTCCTCGCTTTGATGCCAGCTGTGACAAGATCATAATACATGATCATCTCCCTAACCACCTCATAATAACCATATTCAGCTGCAACATACAAGGGGGTCTCTCCTGCTGAATTTTGCTTTATCAACAACTCCGCTAATTCTTCCTCGCCCGTGTTCTTTATAGTCTCTCTTATTGCAACAATATTTCCAGCTCTAGCTGCCGAATGCAAGGCAGAATCATCACGTTTCCCCGTTAATTGTTTCGTCATTTTTTTCCGGGGTGTGGTTGGCTGAGCTGTTGGTGCCTCCATCTTATTAAAAGTGCCCAAAATCCCACTTCCTCTTCCCTCCCTATGCTAATCTTGAACCACAATCCTTTTTCTTCTTCCCTCAAACACTCAAATCAACAATCATATTTTTTAATTCTAATGAAGGCTCAAGAGCCAACATGAAAACCTTTATTCTATAATCACACTTCCCTCGTTCATCAAAGCGAAAAACTTGAATTTCACTCACATTCCTTTTCAAGTTTGAGCCAAAATCAATACCCTAGTGACAACAACAACAACAACAACATAAACAACAACCAACAACAACAAACCCAGTATAATCCCAAAGTGGGGTCTCGGGAGGGTACTGTCTACGCAGACCTTACCCTTACTTGGAAGGTAGAAATGCTGTTTTCGATAGATCCTCTGAAACAACATAAACAGCAAAATCTTTAAAATATTTCTTTTTCCACATGAAGAAAGACATTCATTTTCAATTTTCGACATTCAATTCATGATTTTCAATACACTATCTTGTTAGGTGTTTGCCATAATTTTCTTACCATATTTGGTTTTCCTATTTGTTGAAAGAAAGGGCAATATAATTACCTTAATTGGGTTTTCCTTTTGTAGAAGGAAATTATAATTCTCCTATACTTGGCTAGTCCTTTTTCTTGTAGGAAAAGGTTTAGACTTCTATAAATTGAAGATTCGTCTTTCTCATTCAGTAGCATCCACAATGTAGCCATAGGGGCTTGAGAGTAGTGTTTAGGAGGAGAACTTTACGGGACAAGTGTTAGTGTGCCACTTGTGTTTGCCTCTTCGTGAGGTTGTTCTCTCGATATTTTGTACTCTCTTTTTATATAGTGGATTGCTCATCTCCATGGTGGACGTAGGTCAAGTTGACCGAACCACGTTTAATATTTGTGTCTCTTTTGATATATTTCTCTTTGTTGCATGATTTATCATCGTTCAAGTTTTGCTTTGCTAGCTTCCGCATGACACCTGATTTTCGGTCCTAACATATCTAGCCATCAGTAAACAAAATTGAAGCTTTGTTATCTTATGGCTATTGTCTTCTCCTTCCTAAGTACATGCATAACACAATCAAAAGATTGCCAATTAAGATAAAGAAAAAAGGGAAAATATTTACCTGGATATGAATAAACTTCTGAAATTTCCAACTTTTTCCAGCTTCCTGATAAAAATTCAAGAACCCCACAATAACAAAGAGTTATTTTTTTTGGTGATGAAAACAACCAATGTATATTGCTTTTAATAAATGGAAGAAAAGCTTCTAAAAAAGTATGGGGTGTCTATATAAGTTGGAGCAAGGAAAATGTGTAAAATATACAATTGCTAGAGAAAAAGGGACATTAAAATGGCACATGCATTCAAAAAACAAAATTTGTGTATATATAATAAGTGAGAATCACCACCCTGAGTTCTTGAACAAAAAGAAAAAAGAACCACAAAAATGGAACTTTTTCTGAAGTTGGTGGTGATGAAGAGGATGGTGATGATTTGAATTTTGAGAATCACATTTGAAATATTAATGGTTATTTTTTATTATTATAATTTTCTTTCAATAATTCGAGATGAAACAGAAGAAAAAACTAATCCCTGTGGTTGGTGAATAATTTCACTAACCATATTACCAGAAGGTCTAGAACCGCACACATATATATTCTTTACAAAAGTAAAGTGCGTACCACGCGCTCTCAGGAGCTAGAAGCAATTGTTTTACATTTATGCATGTAAATGTTTTTTAGACATATCATTCCAGAAATAGAAAGACAGAGAGATTATGTTTTTCCAAAAATTGAAATACTTATCCTTAAATGGTGTTTGGCTTGATTTTTTTTTGGTCGGAAACGCCGAGAAAAGTTTCACTTAAAATTATTTTCACTCTCTTTGAAACAAATGCGACCAAGTTTTTCAGCTTCTTAAAAACTGAAAAAAAAAAAATCTTCTTTCTTAATATTTAGTTGAAAATTTTCTTTTGATTTTTAAAAAAAGTTTGATTGAGATACTTCTTGAAATTTTTTAAGCCAATATAAAACGAATGAAAATCTTGAAAGTTTGTTCTTCAAGTTACTCGCTTTTTTTAAGAGGAGCTACCGGCTTTGAGCTCTAAAAACAAAACAACCTTTTTATATAAGGCACTTTATATCAAGTCATCCGTTCGTTTACATTTAGTGGGCGTTTGGACACAAAGAATTATAAAACTCCCCCAAAAAAGTGAAAATGGTATTTGAAAATTAGAGTTATGTTTGGACTTGAATATAATTTTGGATTGTTTTTGAATTTTTGTGAGTGATCTGAGTAAAAATTTTGAAAAACAGCTTTTTCAAATTTTTCAAATTTTCGAAAAGTCCCAAAATTCATCTTCAAGTGAAAATTTATGGCCAAACACTGATTTCGAAAAAAAATAAATTTTTCGATAAAAAGTGAAAATATTCGTATGTCGAGAAATTTTCATAAAACACTATCTTTTAGTAATAATTAGTCATCTATAGATACCGTTTGCTATATTACGAATTATAGATACCTTTTCTGTGGTTATAAGATGTATTTGATGTATTTAAGCTATGTATTCATGAATACAGTAGCAAAAATAGGCGTGAATCAGGGAAGTTCAGCTAATCAGTTGTTGTATTCGACTGTATTCATGCAACAGCTGGACAGATTATTGTATTATACTGTATTCGACTATATTCATGGCGTGAAATAGGGGATTACACTGTTTTTAAAACGGAAAGTGAATCAATTAACATAATAGACTCCTGATATAACTCAACAAACTCAATTATAACACACAAATTTGTATTTTTCAGTTATAAAAAAGATTCTCAACCGCAAAATACCCCAAAAACATAGCAATCTTCAGAGAAATTATATAGTACATCTGAATACATAAATTATATTAATTAAAAAAAAACATATGAATACATTCATGGCATATAACGAGATAATGGATACAATGAAATAGATCGAATACAGAGGGATATATTGAAATACAATGAGAAAAAAAGACATTGAATACAATGAAATACATGGAATACAACGAGATACATTGAATTACAATGAAAAAAAAGATAATGAATACAATGAAATACAACGAGATACATGGAAATGCTCTAAAAAAAGGCAACAGAATCTTCAAATTGCTCAACCCCAAACTTCAGACGACCTATTTTAGTCGACAATTTTCCGACGATCCATCGGATTCCGCCCATGATTCCATAAGCAGCGATGAGAGAAAGAAGAAGAAAACGAGAAATCACAGAAATCATAAATCAGAAATCAGAGATTCCGATTTTGATATTCGTGGACATGAATAATACGCCAACTCCAGTATGTTTCTTCTTCTTCCTCCTTTCCGATTTTGATTGTTTTCGTAAAATTCCGATTTTGATAAACTCCAAGGCTGTGATTTCTCCTTAATTAAATAGCACGCGGTTACGCCAAAATTTAGGCTTTCGTCTTCTTCGTCTTCAATTGCTTTGTTTGTGCATATTTACGAGCTAGCTTATTAAGGTTTGATGGATTTTTGTTTCCTACTAAAATGCTGTTCCAATAATTAATATCAGTATTGTCTATATTGGAGTTATTTTGGTTAAGAGGAAGAGGTCCACGAAATTTTGGGAGAATGAGATATATCAAAGTAGAGAGAGAAAGAAAAAAGTGTAACTGATTAGCGTATTTAGTGGCTTAGGGCTAGGAGGAAACCAAAATTAAATATTTTGCTATAAACCTTAAAAGGTATCTATACAGTATAATTTTTTTAAATAATATTTATTTAAAATAAATAAGGTGTTAACCTTTGCTATAGGAGGTAAAAATTCCGATAATATAGAGGCGCGTTAATATAGTGAGCCACACCTTTCAAACTAAGCTTTTATGCTGATCTATGGATTATAGTTAGCCATCCAATAATAGGATTATACAGCATTATGTGCTTTACATTACTATATGATCATTATGAAAATGATATTTCGTATTCTTTTAACTCTCTCTCTGTGCGCGCAGGGGGTGGGGGTGGGGAGGATCAACAAGCTATACGATGCAAGCCAATTATTGAATCCTGAAGTGACAAAAATAAAACTGATACAGCTCAATACATAGTAAAGTAAAGAAGCAAACTTGTGGTTCAATATGACGAAGAGAGTGTTTGGATTGGCTTTTAACATGGTCAAATCAGCTTTTAAGCTCTTTCTAGCTTTTTTCAGTGTTTGACAAAGTTAAAAAATACTTAAAATAAGTTAAAAACTGCTTAAAAGTTAAAACAAGCCAAACCAGTAAGCTAGCAACCCCAACTTATTGCTTTTTGGCATAAAAGTTATTTATGCCTAAAGACTACTTTTTTAGCTATCATTCGCGCCTTGTAACATTAATTTGTAGAGTGCAAAGCCTCCTCTGTGGCAGCCGGGCATAGTAGAAGCCATGTCATCCAAATCAGTCTGACAAAAAAAGAAACATGTGAAATTAACAATTGCAAGTCATAGATAAACTGTGTAAAGCAATATGAACCTTTCTTTTATGGATGAAGAAGCAAAACTACCTCTCGTACTACTTTTAGCAACACATACTTAAACAACGGATCAGTACCAAATATAATATACACCTATCATCAGCAGTCTTGAAATGGTGATGCCCGTGATTTCCAACAGATTAAGGAGTAAAAAATGCAAGAAAGGAAAGAGCTCAAAAATAAAATAAAGTAGTCCAGCACATGAAAAAAAGCCTTCTCAAACTCAATTTCACATGACAAGTAGAACGCTGCTAAATGGCCCCAGGTAGGACAGAAAGGAGATACCTAAGGTTGATTTTAGGCAATTTCAAGCTGAAAAAGGTGGAGGATTATTTGGCTAGAAGGATCTTAAGGGTTTCGGTCATGCAACTTAGAATAAGATGCCAGGAACAAGGAACAAGGAACAAGCATCACTGATGTTGTGAAGCTGTAAGACAGAACCATAGGATAGATTTGCAATTATCACTTCCAACCAAGAGGTTGTGAGTTCGAGTCTCCCCAAGAGCAAGGTGGGAAGTTCTTGGAGGGAAGAATGCCGGGGGTCTATTTGGAAACCTCTCTACCCCAGTGTAGGGGTAAGGTCTGCGTATACACTACCCCCCAGACCCCACTAAGTGGGATTATACTGGGTTGTTGTTGTTGTATTACTCTCAAGCACAACAGCTAGTGCTATAGTTGCATATAAACAAAAGATTCTGAGAAAAATATAGACAGAACTCTAATTAATTAGAAAGAAGCATAATATGATTTATAGACTAGATTTTTTTCTTATTCCAAAGATTCAGTACACCAACTCAGAGATAAACTTCCTTGTACCATTAGTGTATTTATCGAGAAATTCAAAATAGAAAATCCCAATAAAATTGGGATGAATCAGACATTTTCAGAATGTTCCATGAACGACAGGAGTTCTGTACAGTTGCCAAGATGACGCTAATGCTAAAATTGGGGAAGGGCTGTAAAAGAAAACATATAGTCCAAAATTAATTATTAAATTCAGACTCCAAATTTAACCGACTAGCTTCAATTGGCTCCAATTTTAACCAACTCCTGTAGCACTTACATGCCTTGTTACGACAATTTTAGTTGCATTACATTGCTAGCATTGTGTGTTAGACCACAACCTCATGCTAGATGGTCCCTTTCCCTCCACATGGGACTCCCGCAAGGCTAAGCCATAGATTCCACAGAGCTCAGCAAAAGTGGATCCATATGGCAACTGAGCAAAAATTAATATATAAGACAAGTCACTAGAACTACTTTAACAATTTGTAAAACTAACCATTGAAACAGCATAAAGCTGAGTTGACTCGAAGCCATTTTGTGCGCTAGAATACAATTGTTGAATTTCATCCGACTGAAGATTGCATTTGATGAAGAAGAAAGCAATTGGCCTAACATTCAATACTCTTTGGGATATACCAATAAAGATGGGGCTGGACTGATATAACATCAAAGATAAAGAATAAAGAATAAGAGTTAGGTGTCTTCTACAAATATGAATCCTAAAACGATGCAATCTTATCAGAAATGAAACAACAATCTAAGGGTGCATGTAAAAACAGCCCCCTCAAGAGTTGCAGACAGCCATATTCATAATTAGTCACCAGTCTCCAATGATCAGCTTACAAATGCAACTTTATTTTGTACCTGACAATCAATGTGTCCTACATTATGTATATTACATTTGATTACAGTAGTACATTTAAAAATCTTGGTGAATTATTTGATTACAGTTTTGAGGTAGATCTTCATGTTATAGCTGACAAATGAATTGAGAAATAAGAACGACGCATTACTCGAAATACACGGTCATATTTTCCTAATAGGGCCACAAAAGGAAAGAGAAGAAAAAAAATGTAGGTACAGTTAAATGACTTTTGTATACAACAAATCGACAACACAAGAAGCATGATAATTCTCAAGATTCGACGTGATTGTGCTATTTGGTATAAAAAACCCAGAATGAAAATCAGGCTGAGCCCTGATACAAGGTTGATTAGAAATTATATTTATCCAGCCAGCGCTATTGCTTATCAAGGTCCTTCTTCTTCTCCTTCCAGATTACAAAGTTGACCCATTTCACTTGTCTGCTACCCAAAATATTTTGAGCATACAGGAATTATATACTTATATAGAGCAGTGCAAAGTGGAAAGTTTAGATAGGAGCTGNTCCAGCCAGCGCTATTGCTTATCAAGGTCCTTCTTCTTCTCCTTCCAGATTACAAAGTTGAAAAAAAAAAAAAAAAGAACGGGGAAAAAACAAGCACTCTCCTTTCTCCCAATTTTGTGGTGAGTAAAACAAATCATCACTTACAAGGCTATTTGCAGGAGCTCCAGTTTCTTCAACAACTTCACAAACAATGCTGTCAAACATTTCTTGAGAAACTTTGCTGTTGCGACATTGATTCAGCTCATGGGAGACTATTCCAACGTCTTGGGGCTGTTAAAAGCATAAATACAATCATGCCATGCATTGCTTATTATCCGGACATATTTGGGCAGTGAAGTAACAAAGATACCACAGCTTAATCTTGATGCAAAAGAAGAGTGCTTTGCATAAAAGCAGTCAGACATTCGAAATCCCTTAGGTGATCTTCTGATTAAATAAACCTAAAACAAAGCTTACAATTGCAGAAAGCAATGTCAGATAAGGTCACACAAATTGGCAGTTACATTATAAACAGGTGAATTTAATGAAATACAGAATAACAAGTTACCCAACTTAAAAACACTGTTTAGCTAAAGGTCTAAATGGTGAACAACGTTAAGTACCAATTGACAAACGGAAATATGGCAGTTGCTTTTTGCTGTCATAGCTCACACGTTATTAAATATGAAAGGTTTTGAGTAGCTTGCTGGGTTACAACCATTTTTGCTCGCGAAAGCTTATATTTATCAGAATTTGTTGCCAATATCTCAAAGGTGTCCTTACAACATGAGATGAGATACCTCTGGATTGCCTCCAGGAAAAGCAAAATATCCGGGGAATTCTCCAACTCTATTACTTCTCTGAAGCACAAGTATTTTCTTATCAGAAGTTTCTACAACTGCACCATTACCCAGAGGACTTGATGTGTGCTGACACTGTATGCAATCATCTGCAGAAAACCAAGTCACATTTTTTAGCACAAACGAATTGTAGTCTCGCAAGCTGGAACATCAGTCAGAAGCATTTTCATACACTTGAAGTGCCTGCTCTGTGCAATGTTATATGCAGTTCTGTATCACATAAGAACCTTGTAACATATCCCTCTTAGAATTCATAAGATATCAAATTAGCTGCAGACCTTATGTTGGAAAGCGAAAGAGTATAGAAAAGGAAACTAAAAGAAATACTAAGAAATAGATTGCAGTTTAAGGTAGCAGATACATTAGAGATGTGGAGGGAACAGTCGTTACCTTAGGAAGAAGCAACTCAACAAACAATTGTATTTCATGGAAGTTTACCTTCAGATGGAACAAGATATCTTTCCCAAATAGGACTTAAATTTGTCCCCACAAAATCCCTGAGCAGAAAAGTCCAAGTGTAAGAATATTTTATTTGTATTTTCTATTTTGTTCCCTATTTTTGCTCTTCCTTTTGGGTAAATGCATGACAAAATTAAAGTGTTGACGGCACATTGCAGGTATACACAAATTCTCGTATTTCACCCAAGATTCTAGCGACACGAATAAAGAACAATTCATTTATAATTTACCATTTTGACATGCTGATATAAGTTTGGGACAGTAACATTAGCCTGTCCAAATTGCACTGGACGGATATATGTTTTCCATTACATGCACATTAAATGGAAAAACATGTAGAATAAAAGAAGGCAGGAAGAAAGAAGACCAAGATAGAGAAGAACCTATAATCTGTTAGACCAAGCTGAAGGGAAACATGAGGCTGTTGCTTGGGATCATTTCCTACATCGAAAGTGTATCCTCCATACTGTAAAAGTATCAGTATATTTAACATTTTTTTTTGAGAAGGAAATAACACAAAAATGCATATATCATATTTGGGTGTATCTGATAAAATATAAATGACTAACTAAACTCTCTTAAAAGTAATGGAGCTGCAACTGTGGCCATCAAAGTGACAACACTACATTGTCAAAGTTCTAGACGGAACAGATATAGCCAAACTATCTATGTTTCAATATAAAAATTGAATGATAAATGCAATGGAAGAAGAGTGCAGCATACCCTAAACTTCGGCCTATTGTAAATTGATGAAAGTCGCTCTCTTGCATCCCATTCCTAACAACATGACAACACGTTACGCCAATGAAAAGATTCAGCACAAATACCGGTTTTGCCCCAAGTGAATAATCATAGGTTTTTGATCTATCAGCCTAAACATAGAGACAATTACCTAAAAAATTAGAGTTTGGTATTTGGTCTTTTTAATCAAGTGTGATTCTCACAATCCACAAAAGAAACACCGGTATTTGCATAATATTAATTCTGCTTCATTTTACACAAAACCATTACTATTTAGAAATCAAACATTTACTATGATTTTTTCAAATGTTCTCTAAACATTTCTAATTACAAGATTGTCATTTAAAGTACTTGACCTCTAATTGCTAAAAGGAAGAGAATAAGAAACAAAACCTCGAAAATGGACTCCTCCAAAAAAGGGTCGGGATGGGGAATCCTGTCGTATGCTTCATTGAAAACAACTGACACCTTTTACCCAAAGCACATTCAGATTACAAAAAGTGAGAATAATAAAAATGTAGAAAGCGAAGAGAGAAAACAGGAAAAGTAAGTACGTAAGTAACCTGTGAAGGAGATAGACCAGAAGGACATGAGAGCAGCAGCTTGAATTCGTGAATACCGTCGCAGCTGATTTTCTCCTCCATTTCTTCTACAGAGAGAGAGAGAGTGTGTGTGGAGATTGATCAAATTACAGTGAAATTTTCCTCCTATTAATAAGGAAGGAGCTTCGCGTAGTCAGGGGCATTTTGGGAAAACTGCAACTTTTTTTAACACATGCGGAATCCGTAGTTTCCACGCGTATATCCCTAAACTAAAAAAAAGAACGCGTCTACTGCTCTTTATCCAGATTTTCCGATCTACTCAATTCCTCTCCAATATTCCTCTGGCTTTTTAATCTTCTCTCTTGCTGCTCGGTTTATGGGCGTTGGCTGTGTAGTCATAAGGTGACTTTTCGTTTTTTATTTCTTTGTTCAAATTGGGTTAACAGTTGGTTGTGATTATTTGTGAGATTCCATACAGTTTCATCTTCATGGCGTTAGCATATCATGTCTATTGTCAAAAAATTATGGGATTTAGTTAGTAAAATTACAAAGAGGAAAAGCTCTACTCCGCCTTCTTCTAATTTGATAATAATGGCAATTTCCCTCCTGTAAAATTTGAGAGGGAGGGTCGTTGGCTATTTAATCAGGATTTTTTCCCTTCATCTCTACTCTAAAAAGCTTATAGGATTTTTCGTATTCTAATTTGCCACTTTTATATGAAAAGTTTCAAGATTTTTGTACATTAGTTTTGGATTTTTGGTACAGATTCTTATCTAAAATACTTTTTATGTTGGATTTCTGCGGAATTAAGTTATATGTGTTTTCATTATAGTGGCTAAAAAATGATAAATGTCACGATCCAAAATTCACTACAAGTCGTGATGGCGTCCAACACCGCCATAAGGCAATCCAATATTAATTTATCAATTAGATTACCCATTTTATTACTTTTAAATTCCTAATTTCCAATAATTAAAGAGTATAAAAGAGAATTTACAGGGTAAATGATGATAATTACGTGATATATGATAACAAACAATCAGTAAGAACTCCTAGAACCCAGTGTCATTGTTAGTAAACTGTATTTGTAAAATAATTCTGGAAAATATAAACGAACATAAACATAAATGAAAAACAGAAACAGAATTTTAATCTGAGTCCACTGAATTCATAGTGTTTTCTTAAGGAATTTAATCTCCTCCTAGTACCCAAGGTACTTCAAACTGGTGTAGTGGTACTTCAAACCCCAGTATTTCAGCGAACACAAAGTTCGGTAGCAAATCACACTTACTGTTGATTTGTTTGATGTTAAAAGTATGCAGGAGAAGGAAGAGAAACTCAGAAAATCGTATGGAAATTCTGAGCAGAATAGTCTTGTATTTATAATCAAAGTTGGGCTGAAATTTGAAGAGGTGCAACTCTTCAGAATGGCTGTTTATGCAAAACGGCAACAACATAAATGTCATAACATAAATGATTATTTACTCAACAATAAAGAGGGAAAATTGAAGAGGGTAGTTTAATTTTCAGTTACACATCTGAAAAACAGATTGGATAATATTAATATTTATTTTATTATTAATATTCTGTTATTAAAACAAATATTTAATAACATTTATGTTAATATTTTACTATTAACAAATAAATTTGGTCCAAAAAATTAATCAATCAATCATTTGACCAAATCCGAAGCCGAGCGACGACGACGGCGGCGCGAGGCTTGCCTTCTTCTCAACTCTTTAAGAGCTAAAAGAAGAGCAATTGCTTATATACCCATAAAAAATCTCTTCCTCTTTCTCTTCTAATATGTGACAATGTCCCTCCATTTTCCATTCACCATATTTAAGCATATCATATACTTAAAATACCAACAATCCCCCGCATGAATGGGGGAGTGGCTATATCGCGGAAATATGCATGAAAAACTATGTGATTCGTAAGCAAGGATTAATTGCATCTGGATAAGTAGGTTTTCCTTTGAACTTTCCGTAGTGAATTTACGTCGGATATACTCGGTCAATCGGTTTGATATTTTTGAACCTTCAAACTTTGGTGTATATCTAGACAACCATAAGTCACACAACCAACGCTTAACCGTCTTTGGTTCTCATTGTTGTGTTCGTTTCAGCATGAACGCCGCCTGATTTCATAAGTGCGTAAAGAACTGGCCTTACAAAGTTCTCCTTGAAACGGCTAACACTTCACACCTACATAAGTTATTCCTAAACGTGTCATCCCATAGATACACTATTTGATATACCCCGTATCAAATTTAGAAATCATTAAAAAACCTTAATGCTTTATCCGTGGTACTGAACATTGTCTCATCACGAGAATGGACCAAAAGTTTAGTTGATAATGTTGAACCGTCATTAATGACTTTGTTTGATCTCCTTGAACCTAGATCTTGGGATCTCCAGTATTCTAGGTAGAGTTACCGCTACTATGACTTGTTCTCGGCCACAATCCCATTCCCCTTGATGATTTCTCAACTACCTCTCTAGTTAGGCTTTTTGTAAGTAGATCCGACACATTATCACTTGACTTTACATAATCAATCGTGATAATTCCTCTAGAGAGTAATTGCCTAACGGTTTTATGTCTTCGTCGTATATGACGAGATTTACCGTTATACATAACGCTCCCAGCCCTTCCAATTGCCGCTTGACTATCCCAATGTATGCATATTGGTGCCATCGGTTTGGGCCAAAATGGAATATCTTCCAAGAAATTCCGGAGCCATTCAGCTTCTTCACCGGCTTTATCTAAGGCTATGAATTCAGCCTCCATTGTAAAGCGGACAATACAAGTTTGTTTGGACGACTTCCAAGATACCGCTCCTCCACCAATAGTGAATACATATCCACTTGTGGACTTGGAATCAGTTGATCTGGTGATCCAATTTACATCACAGTATCCTTCAATGACCGCAGGATATTTACTGTAGTGCAAAGCAAAGTCCTGGGGCATGTACTAAGTACCCCAAAACTCGTTTCATGGCCATCCAATGAGATTGACCTGGATTGCTCGTATATCGACTCAATTTACTTATAGCACAAACTATATCTGGTCGTGTACAATTCATGATGTACATTAAGCAACCCAACACACGAGCATAATCCAATTGTAATATGATTTGGCCTTTATTCTTTGCTAATGCAAGATTCACGTCAATTGAAGTTTTTGCAACTTTAAAGCCCAAGTGCTTGAATTTTTCAAGTAATGTCTTAATATAATGAGATTGTGACAATGCCAGACCTTGAGAAGCCTTATGGATCTTAATTCTCAGAATTAAATCAGCAACTCCCAAGTCTTTCATATCAAACTTGCCAGTTAACATGCGCTTAGTCGCATTTATGTTGGCAATGGCATTACTCATTATCAGCATATCATCCACATATAAGCAAACAATGACTGTGATTTGGAACATTTTTAATGTGTACACATTTATCACATTCATTTATTTTAAAACTATTTGACAACATTATTTAGTCAAATTTCGCATGCCATTGTTTGGGTGCTTGTTTTAGTCCGTAAAGGGACTTAATAAGTCTACATACCTTCTTTTCTTTACCTGGAACCACAAACCTTTCAGGTTTTCAGGTTGTTCCATGTAAATTTCTTCCTCCAACTCTCCATTTAAGAAGGCTATCTTAACATCCATTTGATGAATTTCAAGACCATAAACTGCAGCTAATGCTGCTAACGTTCGTACAGACGTAATTCTTGTAACGTGAGAGTATGTATCAAAATAGTCAAGACATTCTCGTTGTCTATACCCTTTGACCACAAGTCTTGCCTTAAATTTGTCAATAGTACCATAATCTTTCATTTTCCTCTTAAAGATCCATTTAGAACCCAACGGTTTATTTCCAGGAGGAAGATCAACCAATTCCCATGTATGGTTGTTTAGTATGGATTCTATTTCACTATTGACTACCTCTTTCCAAAACAATGATTCCGAAGAAGACATAGCTTCTTTAATTGTTTGAGGCTCATTTTCCAATAAGAAAGTCAAAAAATCTGGTCCAAATGAAGTAGACGTTCTTTGACGTTTACTACGTCTTGGATCCTCCTGATCAAATGTACTTTCTTGTTTCTTCCTGAGGTCGTTTAGATCCTTCACCAATCGACTCACATTCCTTTTTATACGAATATATATTTTCAAAGAACTCAGTATTATCTGATTCTATAAACGTATTATTATGAATGTCGGGATTTTCTGATTTATGAACTAGAAATCGATATGCTTTACTATTGGTCGCATATCCTATGAAAACACAATCAACAGTTTTCGGTCCTATTTTTACCCTTTTGGGTTTAGGAACTTGCACTTTTGCCAAACACCCCCACACTTTAAAATAATTCAAATTGGACTTCCTTACTTTCCATTTTTCATATGGAATGGATTGTGTTTTGCTATGGGGTACTCGATTTAGTATTTGGCTAGCCGTAAGAACGGCTTCCCCCCATAAGTTCTGTGGCAAACCAAAACTTATCAATAACGCGTTCATCATCTCCTTTAATGAACGATTCTTTCTTTCTGTAATCCCATTGGATTGGGGCGTGTAAGGGGCCGTTGTTTGATGAATAATTCCATATTCTAAACATATTTGTTCAAAAGGAGATTCATATTCACCACCCCTATCACTTCTTATCATTTTGATTTTCTTGTTAAGTTGCGTTTCAACTTCATTTTTGTATTGTTTTAATGCGTCTATTGCTTCATCTTTACTATTAAGTAAGTAAACATAGCAATATTGAGTACTATCATCAATAAAAGTTATGAAATACTTCTTTCCACCGCGAGATGGTATTGACTTCATGTCATAAATATCTGTGTGAATTAAGTCTAAAGGATTTGAACTCCTTTCAACTGACTTATAAGGATGTTTAACATACTTATATTCCACACATATTTGACATTTTGATTTATCACATTCAAATTTAGGCAATACTTCCAAGTTAATCATTTTCCGCAAGATTTTATAATTAACATGACCCAAACGTATATGCCATAATTCATTTGACTCAAGTAAGTAAGACGAAGCTGAAATTTTATTATTATTCTCAACAACCATTACATTCAGCTTGAAAAGGCCCTCAGTGAGGTAACCTTTTCCTACAAACATCTCGTTCTTACTTATTACAACCTTATCGGATACAAATACACATTTAAAACCATTCTTAACAAGAAGTCCAGCAGAGACTAAATTCTTCCTAATCTCTGGAACATGAAGGACGTTGTTCAATGTCACCACTTTGCCAGAAGTCATTTTGAGAAATATTTTCCCACATCCTTCAATCTTAGCCTTGTAGTATTTCCTATAGAAAGCGGCTCATCGAGTCCAACAGGAGCATAAGTAGCAAAAGTTTCTCTAACAGCACAAACATGGCGAATGGCTCCAGAATCAATCCACCACTCTTTAGGATTGCCTACCAAGTTGCATTCGGAAAGCATGACACACAAGTCATCAACATCATCATGTTTTTCAACTATGTTTGCTTGACCCTTCTTCTTGTCTTTCTTCGGAGCACGACATTCCGTAGATTTGTGTCCGACTTTTCCACAATTGTAGCAATTTCCACTGAACCGCTTCTTGCTTGGGTTGTATTTCGGCCCAGAAGCCTTCTTCCTCTTCAACAATATTTG